AGGTCTATGGAACCGGTGTGGAACCAGCCTAAGACCCTCCGATGCCGAAGTAAGTTTGTTGTTTTGAGAGCTCTTGCTGTTGACCATATAAAAGTATAAAAGTCAAGCTGAAAAGTCTTACCCCTGTATTGTAGTGGAAGGGGCCTTTTTATAGGGGGCATATAGTATGCTCTTAGTGCTCATTTTCGATGTGGGACTCGTGGGAGGGCCTTCTGAGGTCGACACGAGTCCTTAGATATTTTGGGCGGGTACTTCGAGGTTGATTCTCTACAATCGGTAAGGGATGCCGATTGTAGACGAGTTGGGCTCGTAATGGCTGTTCGCAGCTTTGAGACAATGCCATCGGTGGCCGATGCCGATTGTCCGAGGCCTTGGGTACTTGGGCGAGTTTATGAGATCCACGTGTCGTTGTACGAGTGGAGGGTCAGATATGGTACAAACACCGTCAATTTTGTTAACTTTTTATGTTAAATGTAGGGGGAAAATGGTATTTTTATATTGAAACCAGAAAAATGAATTAAAAAAATAATATCTTTAAAATAACAATAAAAGAAAATCAAATAAAAAACCAACAAAAAAAAAGTTTAGGGGGAGTAGAAATCGGGATAGAGGGGGAGATAGAGAGTTTAATTTTAATTTTTTATTCATATTTTAATAAATTTTGATTAAAAAATACCATTTTGCCCCTGCATGTAATAGAAAAGTTAACAAAATTAACGGTATGACCATTTGTCATAACGAAACTGAAGTTGAAGGACCACGAGAACCATTTTGGAAATTGAGGTACTCAAATGCAAATCGGGTTTAAGTTCAGGGACTAATAAAACGATTAACCCATGATTTTAAATATTATTAGGTTCAAAAGTACCCACTTCATAAACACTCTTTTCTTTTTGTGGCCAACATTATTTTTCCCTCTTGTGAAATAGACCTTAATAGGGTAACTGACCATTCTAGCAAATTTATTTTTGGCTTATTTACTGTAGTGCCTTTGTAAGATCCGTGTCTTGGGGAATCAAGAATGGTGAGCAATCCTACATCGCTCGGGGAGGGAAATGTGAAGTGCTTAAATGTGTGGGGTGGGTATGGGTGCTCCCAAAAGGCCTCGTGCTAGGAAGAGAAGTGCCCACACATTTAAGCACTTCACCTTTCCCTCCCTGAGCGATGTGGGATTGCTCACCGTTCTTGATTCCCCAAGACACGGGTCTTACAGCCTTACCCTTCTAAAGTTAAAATGGCCCACTTAACCTCATTGACTGTGATTTCGTGTTCCACTTTACCCCCCGCCGTTATCTCCATTAATAACTCTATCTGTTTTGATGACGTGGCAGGGCTATTTTAGTCTCTTTTTTTTTTACCACAAGTGATGATGTGTCATGTGAATGGCCCACTTTTTGGTTTAAATTGAATTAAATAAATAACAAAATAATGTAATTATTTGTTTAATTAAAAATATATATGTATATAAAATGGAAAAATTAATAAATAAAAATCTTTCTTTTTTATGCTTTAAAAATGAAATTGAATTAAATTAAATTAAAAAAATAAAAATAAAAACCTACCCAGATCCAACTCTCCCCAGAGAATGGCATCATCCTTTATCCTTTATCCTTTCTCCTCTCTCTACAACCAACCACCGCATCATTATCCATAACAACCCAAAGACACCACCAGCCATAACCAGCCATACCTCCCACCAGCCTCTCTCTCTCTCTCTCTCCGACCCATTGTCGTCTTCATTTCTTCGCAGATTTAGGTCTCCGAAACATCAACGTTTCAAGCTCGCCTTAGATCCAAGTGATCTGAGTCTAACGTCGTAGTTCCTGCTGCTATCAATCTCCCAAGCCAGCAATGGAGAACCTGATCTCCATGGTGAACAAAATCCAAAGAGCTTGTACATCTCTAGGTGACCACAGCGAAGCTAGTGCATTACCGACGCTATAGGACTCTCCTCACGCCATTGCCGTCGTCAATGGCCATGTTCGCTTTCGATCCCTCACCTATCTCTCTCTCATCGATCCGAGTATATGAATTTTGATTTGTGTTTCTTTTCATCTGCTTTGTAACTTAGCCCCCAATTTTCATGAAAGCTTAATGTTTCAAACTAGTTTATACTCGTGGTGCTTAAAAACAAATATGGAATTACTTTTATGCATTTCGGTTGAACTGCTAGGAATTGTCTACACTAAGTGGAACATGTTTGCTAATTGGGAAGAAGAAAGAAACAAGACTTGTTGAATATGATAGCAAATTTTAGATGGGGTGGGTATGGGTGGTATGGGTGGTTGTGGGTTTGGGTGGTTGTGGATGACGGTGCAGTGGTTGGTTGCAGAGAGAGGAGAACGGAGGAAGGATGAGGGGATAGAGATTGATCTTTGGGGAGAGTTGGATATGGGCAGAGTTTTATTTATTTATTTTTATTTAATTTAATTTAATTTTTAAAGCATATTGAAAAAATATTTTTATTTATTAATTTTTCTATTATATATATATATATATATATATATATTAATTAAACAAAGAATTACATTATTTTATTATTTATTTAATTCAATTTAAACAAAAAGGTGGGCCATTCACATGACACATCATCACTTGTGGTGAAAAAGACTAAAATAACCCTGCCACGTCATCAAAACTGACAGAGTTATTAATAAAGATAACGGCGGAGGGTAAAGTAGAATACGAAATCACGGTCAAGGGGTTTAAGTGGGCATTTTAACTTTGGAGGGATAAAGTGAGATTTGTTTGTACCATATCTGACCCTCCGTTCATACAGCGACACGTGGATCTTAGAAGCTTACCCAAGCGCCCAAGGCTCCGAACAATCAGCATCGGCTACCGATGATATTGTCTCAAGTGGGCAAAAGGTCGCTACAGGCCCAACAGACTCGTGTCGACCTCATAGGGCCCTCCCACGAGTCCCACATCGAAATTAAGTACTAAGAGCATACAAGATGCCCTCTATAAATAGGCCCCTTCATTACAATACAGGGGTAAGACTTTTCAGCTTGACTTTTATACTAATATATTGTCAACAGCGAAGGCTCTTAGAAAACAAACTTACTTTAGCATTGGAGGGTCTTAGGCTGGTTCCACACCGGTTCCATAGACCTCACGAGCCTCAATTCTCTTCTATTCAGGATCTACATCCAAGGACAAGAAGAATCTGCATCTATCACTCAATCGATCTGTTAGATCGTCCTCACCACTTGTAAGTTGCACTCATCTCTATCTGTTCAGTTTTTGTGCCAACAAGATTTGACCGAAATATCAGGTGACACTACAGTAAATAAGCCTTTATTTTTCTTTTTCAAAGAAAAGACCATTCTAGCTTCAAACAATAGGAAGGAACACAAGAATTTGTCTAGTCAATTTTGAAAAAACCAATTTTAGCAAATAAAATTTCTCTACTTAAATCCCAAGGACAAAATGGTTATCAAATAAAAATTTTAATTGACGATTTTGTCCTCCATGAAAAAGCATTGCAGTACGGCACACACCCTGCAAGAATATCAACACGCAACAAAATATCACCGCCTCGGCAGTTCTTTTGCCTCCCCGCATATTCCTGTGAAAATTTATCCCAACCCATGATTTCCGCTCGATAACTGAAGTAAAACCCCTACCATTCTCTGATTGTCGTAAGGAAAAAAAAATTAAGCACTAAGGTTTTCATGCAGGTCAGTCAAAATTTCTCGATATTGTTCTAATTTTTGTAGAAATTTTCCTTTGTATGATCCCAATGGTTGCGATGAAATCGGACCTGAAATTGTTAGTGTTAGTGTTTGGGTTTTGGTTTAAATTATATGGAATTGTATGGCAAATCAGTGCGTAAGAGGTGGTGAATTTCTGCATTGGTGTAATTTGTGGCAGGCGATTAGGGGTTTTAGGGTTCAGAGTTATGGCATTGTACGGTTTGGATCTGAATGTTAGCTACTTGCTTAACTTTTTAGTTTTTGTATGGCACTAAATGTTATGGCATGCTTTTGACCTCTTTCATTAGCCATTGTGCCATTTCTAAAAATGATAACAAGTTGTGAGATTTAGGCAAGAATATAGATGGTAACAAGTTGTGCCATTTCTCACTTGCTTTCTGTTTTGATTCAAGGCACATTGTCAACTTCATTTTATTAGCTTAAGGGACTGGAATAGGGCTGCTACCTTCTCCTCTGAACGAATTGAAATTCCAGAAGAGCGAGTATTGTCATTGGAGTATTAGGTAATTGCAATAGTACACAATATAGAAACTGGCAGGAACCTGGGCTGTTTTATGTTTAGGAGAAAATGTAACTTAAGTGGAATTTATTTACGAGTTAGGAGGAGTAGGAGTATTCGTCTATTCATTTATTCAGTACTAAATTGAAAATATATATAAAGAGTGAAAAAAAAAAAAATCTTACAGTTTTCCCAAACTCCTGCTAAGAAAAACAGAGAATTGATTCATTGGTTGATAGAAATTGATTTTGTCTTGCTTCATTGAACTTTCAAGGTGTCTTCATGCTGTATGAGTATTATTCTAACCTAAAATTCTTCTGTTGATGTACAGTTGAAATATGGCACATGATACACGATCTAGTCGGAAAATCAAGGATGATGAGAATAACAATTCAAACGGGGGGCAAATTAGTAGTAAAGGATTAAGTACTTCAGGTTCTGGAGCATCAGATACATCTGGCTTAAGGAGGTCTTCCAGAGAAACATCATTGAAGAAAAACATAACTCTGAGCCCTTCTAGTACTAGGAAGTCTGAAAGACTTGAGAAAAAAATGCCTGAAACTCCTCTATTCAAGAGGAAATCTGAGAGATTTGAGAAGAAGTTGACTCCAAGTCCTTTGAGGAGATCGGATAGAGCCAAGAATCACTCATCAACTTCTTCTGGGTCTAAAAGATCTGATAAAAGCTCAGGTTCATCATTGGCGAAGCGGAAAACGGAAAAGAAAGAGAAGAGTGTGAAAGAATTGACATTGGGTACTAGAGAAGTTAGCAAAAGTGAGAAACAGAATGTAGGACCTTGTCATGGAAAAAATAAGATAAGAAATGCTCGAGCTTATAAGACACTCTTCACGAAACATAGAAAGAAGCTTCAAGCACGAGGTAACTGAGTATTGGCTCCTAGCCATTCTTTTGAAGTCATTATTTTCATCTTTTTTTTTAAAACAAAGTGGAATAGATTATTCACTTCATTGTTATCTTGTCTTCTTGAATTTAAGATCATAGCGAGAAGCAGAGCAGGCAGAATAAAGTCTCTCAGGGAGGTAGCAATGCTTGTGGAAGTGAGATTGAAGGGCTTGGTAAAGGCATTGAGGAACTGAATGAAGAATTTGTTGGGAGAGTTCATGATGGATCTTTGGTGGGATCTGATTCCAGTGTAAATAAATTAACAAAAGAAACATGGGAAGATAATCCTGGAGTGGATTTGTCCCATTCAAGCCCTAGGCCTAGCTGCTTGGAGGAAGCTTCTGAGTTCAAAGATGGTGATGGCTTAGAAATTCGTGATCAACACCCACTGTCATCATCTTATAATGCCATGATGGAAGAGCTCAATGATGCACCTGAAAGGGTACATGTAGAATGCTCTGCAATGGAAAAGTTGACGATGCCAGAGTTGACATGTTCTATGTTCAATGAAAGGTTACATGATGTCTACATTGCCTCAAAAATTGGTCACAGGGTCATACCTTCAAAGAGGAAAAGGAACGTGGCAGACGGGGATTCTGATTCTCCAGTTAATGCAAGTAAAGATGTCTGCACCTTGACTGCTGATGCTGTCTCTTCGTTGCCATCTGGGTCCACAGAAGATGTTTCTGTTGAGACGTGCGGTGCATGTTTTAAGCGACGAAGGTATTGCTATTCACAACAAAGTAGTCTTTTCATCTCCTTTTCTGTTGGTAGTGGTTTCCAAAAGAATTTACATCAACCATTTAATTAATTTAGTTTGTGTTAGTCTACTTGTTTACTTGAAGGTCCAGAGTGTGAATACACTCTTTCACATATTACACTTAGCATCTTCCACTTTTTATAAACTTTTTAACAACAAATTGTTTTATGGGTTAGTTGCACCTGCATCCCCTAAAGTTTTATGCATTTTCACTTTAGAATCCTTATTTCTGAAATTTGAAGTCCAGCTACTTGAAGTTTAGACATGGTTGCTCATAACCTCCTTTAGGCAGAAGTCAACTAACAAACTTAGCGGAATCAATGAAATGACAAAAACACCTAACAGTGTTAAAAATATTGTTTGGTTATTGTTGAATTTATAACTTAGATAAAGGGAACTGTTATCGGCACTCCATAATAGTCACGCTGCAATCATGTAAGTGCAATTTCTCCCTTGTGATTTTATAATGGAGTGCATGATGACTTTTTCCTAGTGCGAATAACAGATCCCTACATAAAAAGTGTAGTTTGAGTAAAACTCCTTAAAAATATCAAACAACCAAAAAACTCCTTAACACTTGAGCCCATTATGTAGACTCCACCATCCCTCTCCAACTGGCATCCCAAATTTCCCTCAGAGATATGTCCGAAATTTGGAATTCATGAGAAAGATTTGAGAGGGAGACAAAACATATTCTATAAATGGAATTTCTCTTGCTATATTGTGTTTTCACTCTTCCCTTTTCAATATTTGCTACAAAATGCTTAAGTTCTTGGGTTTGTTCCTCCCTTTGGTACATTTTGGGTAATCTTAATCACTCTCAAATTTGTTCTGAATCATGGTTGAAGGTCAGGGATTTGGGTTTGTCTGTGCAATCTTTGTTTCCGGGTTTGCTTAAAAAAAAATATTCATGGAAGAGAAGAAAAAAAGGTAAGACCAAAGCCTCTGTTGTAACAAAAGATGAAAACGCTTTATTGTGACCTGTTGTATAGAAGTGGACTCCTTATCCTCTTTTGTAAGTTTTTGTTTGGATTTATAAAAGTTTTACTCTTTTCAGAAAACAAAAGGATGAAGAGGAAGTACCCCTTATGGTTCATATTTCTGGGCTTGATTCATAATTACTTCCTACAGATTGTTTACATGTAAAATTAGATCAAAGATAAGTTAGATAAATAATGGCTAAAGAGGACCAAACTCACAAGTATCACGATACTATTAGTGGTGGTGCTGATAATAATGGCTTTGAAGCATTACTTGATCTACTTCAGAGAAAGCTAAGAAAAAGGTCCCACAAAAAAGACTTGGCGGGTCAATGATATAGGCAAAGATCTGGAATATTTTGGACTGGAGTTGTGTATGTACCCATTGATTTTTTGTCGTCCTCTACATCATTGCTGGTTGAAGTTTCAATATTATACTATTCTGCAAAATCTAACATCATTATTGATGGAGCTTTGCAATGTATTATTTTTGGCAATTGGTTATAAGGGGTAAATCATTTTTACATGGTCTGTGAATAGTTGTTAGGATGTTTACTTATCTATTGTCTTAGATTTGTCAATGTTGAGCAATCATGGGAATCTTATGACATTCTAACTTTCCTTTTTCTCCCTCTGTTTCTCATGTGATATTTTCAGGGTAGAAAATGATCTGATGAATCTGGAGTTTTGCTCTTGCAGCACAAAATTAAATCAGGAGTTATGTGGTGCCTCTGTAACTGAGGTTGGTTGACCTTCCCCCATCTTTAGTGCTTTCCAAATCCATTGTTTCCAGTTATACTTTTCTTCAAGTTTGTTTCTCTCAAAGATGGAATATATTTCTCTATATGGTCTGTCACTCTTTATGTTGCTTTCCAGTGCATATATTATGGTACTGCAGCTCGCTTTGATTTTGATATCTCTTTTTCCTGGTTATGTGTCTGATGCAGGACGCATATGACCTAAATTTATTAGTTTCCTAATGTATTTGTTAGTTTCCTAGATTCTCTAGTTTTCCCAATTCTAGTAGGATTTCTACTTTTCCAGATTTCTAGTTTTAAGTTTCCTATTTTATTTGGGTTAGGATTTCCCTTTAAGCAAGGGATTTTTATCCTATTATGTCTAGGTTTTAGTTTGCTATAAATACCCCCATGTAGTTCTTTAAAATTCAGATTTGGATATTGAGTAAACCTTCTCTTAAAACTATGTGATTTCTGTTCTTCCTTCTCGGTTCTCTGATTTCGGTCCTTTCTTTCGTCGCTTCAATCTATATTTTCGTCTCCTCAATCTTTTATATTCTTCTATGTTCTATTGTTTGAGTGCTTAATCTAATACCTACGGGTTGTACTACATCAGTGTCTCATTTCATTGTGGGGAGGTGGTTCCATATTTCCTATCATCTTGTGGATATGGATTGTAAAGAATCTTTTATTAGTTGCTGTTGTAATATACTGGCAGTAGGCCATGTCAGAACTTTTTGAAACATTATATATTGGATAAAGTAATTAGTATCGCTGTTATGGTAACTGTTTTTGTGGGTTGAAAGTTAGCAGAGGACATGTGAGAAATTATGAAGCAAGGGGTGGTACTCTACCTTAGCATATGTTTTTCAATATAAGAATATTAGGTTAGGTACTCTACCTTATGTTTTCAATATGAGGCGGGGGGTGGTCTCTACCTTGGCATGCGTTTTTTCAGTATAAGAATATTAGTTATCACGTTTGGTTTCTTGAGGTTTCTAGAAAACTTAACAAGCTCATCTATTTGTTATGTTCATAAAGGTTTTAGATATCCAACCGATGTTATTCATCAGTGAAGGTTTTGACAGCAGGTAACCTTGTAGGACTTTTTGGGTGATCTTTGAGGAGTTGAGTCTGAAATATATTCTCTTACTTGGACTTATTATTATTATTATTATTTTTATAAGATTCTCATTTGAACTTTAGAATTCAAGGCTTGTAAATCTGTTTTAAATAAGTTTTTTCTTGAATATTTTCAGTTACATATCTGATACCTCACAAATGCGGATATGAATGATATTCTTTCAACTTAATTGATTGCATTTTTAATGTTACAGTAGAATGAGGCTTTAGTGTAGAGTTGGAAAACAAATGTAAATGGAAACACAGGGAAGGTTTATGAAGTAGGGTTTAATGTACATTTTCCCTGGCATTTCATAGGCTTTAGTGTACATTTTCCAGCAGATGATTCTCTTCAGATGGTTCAAATGGAGCATTTCATAGGCTCATATACGTTATGTTGTGGAGATTGTGCTTATAAATTTCTTGTCACTGGTCTACTGTTAGTTTGCATTTTATGTTTGTCCTACATCAATTATTGATTTTGTCTTGGGTTTGTTAATTTTTCTGAAAAGTTGCATCCGGATAGAGGAGAACTCATAGCTGATAGTACCATGGGAGTTCCTGAAAACCTTAACACTTGTACGCAGCAAAAGGAGTTTTCTGCAGATCTTCAAACAAATGGCAACCAAAATACATGCCTCATCTGTTCTCTTGGTGGGAAGCTCCTGTGGGTAACCTTTTCTTCTGGCTTTTCATTGTTGCAAATGTTTCTAGTAGATGATAAGGAAAATTTATTTTATGCTTTCTTTTAGGAGAAACAAATTTTATGAAACCCAAAACAGATTACAAGGTACAAAGAATCAGTGGAGAAGGCATCCGCCTTCATCCAGATACAAATAAAGCTAAGACCAGAGCAACCACAGAATAATACATAGACTGCGAATTTGTTGAAGTTAGAAAGATATGCCAATTGATCCTCTTAACATGCGGTGGAAGGCCTTTTCATTGGGGCTTTTCGGCCTATCCTACCATTTTCCATTAAACATAGCATCCAAAATCTGCCTCCCTTTCATAAAAGCCCACCTTGAGTGCATGAGATTTTATCACAATAATCTTATATAAGCTAGACACCAGACTAATTAGCCTAAAGTCTCTCACCGTTGCTGAATCTGCCTTATTTTGGAATGAGGCCTACATAAGTTTCACATGAATGGATGTACTTCTTTTTATGCAGTTGTATGTGCACGTGAGTGAACATGTTCACAATATGGATTTATTTTTTCTTTAATCTTGGAATTTCATTGCTTCTATGATGTGTTTTGTGTTCTTACAATTTGTTTTCAATTTCAGGGTCTGTGACGGAAGAGGATGCAAGGGAAGTTACCACCTTTCTTGTCTAGATCCTCCTATGGATGCTGTTCCTCTTGGAGTTTGGCACTGTTCCATGTGTGTTAGGAAAAAGATAGATTCTGGTATATATTCGGTGTCAGAGGGAATTGAGTCAATCTGGGATGCTAGAGAGGTGGAGGTATCTGATGTTGATGGTATGCGGAAATTCTGAAAATTTGGCTTCGTGTCTGTTTTGGATTATTTGTTTAAGTTTTGATTTCTCTGTTGCGACTATTTTGTGGATGATGGGGGTTTTTAATACCAATACTGTTCCTTTTTTTCTCTTTTCTTTTTTTCAGGATTGTTAAAGAGGAAGGAGTTTTTTGTTAAATACAAAGGTCTTGCTCATATTCACAATCAATGGGTACCAGAAAGTAAAGTGCTTCTTGAAGCTCCTACCCTTGTGGGAAAATTCAACCGAAATAACCAGGTCATTTTTTCCTCAATACTGTTTTGGTATATGTGTTCTATTTCATTTGTTATTTCTATCAATGGAAAATGTGAAACACCACAAAAAGGGGAATCTGACATTCTTTGATGGGCTTGAGATGCCTTTGCATGGGTTCAAATTTATTTTTCTTCAGATAATAGATTATTGCTTTCTTAACTTATTTTTCTTTTAACCATTAACCAAAAGCTACCTTTTCACATCCGCTGTAGTTGGGGAGTGGTAAGTAGAAATTTTAACACTCCTATTTTCGCCTTCTGCACTCCATTGAGTGCAGAAAAAATTGAAAGAAAAAATCAATTTAGAGTGCTTATGGATAAAAGAGGACTGCCAAGATGACTATTCTTTGTATGTTAAGCGATTTCTTTTTGTGAATTTATGTTCTCCAGGTGACAAGGTGGAAGAAAAAGTGGACTGTTCCACGTCGCTTGCTACAAAAAAGATTGTTAATGTCTCCCAAGCAGCGTGACAACTATCTTAGGGAGCATACTGGTGATAACTTATTTTGCCATTATGTATGGCTTGTGAAATGGCATGGTCTTGATTATGATGATGCTACTTGGGAGTTAGAGAATGCTGCATTCTTGAATTCACCTGAGGGTCAGGGCCTTATAAGCGTTTATGAAAACCGTCGTCAGAGGGCAAAGAAGGCTTCTATTTCCCCTGAAACGGATAAGGTGCCTCAGACATGATTTGTATGAAGAAATATTTGAAACATATTTCTAATTTAAAAATGCATATCTGTTTAGATGAGTAGGTTTAAGGTGTCAGTTTCCTCCACATTATATTTGTTTACCAATAACATCTCATTATCTATCTTATTTGTTTTGAATTAATACGTAAACTTGTATTATTAAGTGGAAGTTGAAAAGGAACTTACTGGTTGACTAGTCTTAAGCATGTTGGAAACCTAACGGAATGTCCATAAATTAGAAGTATAAGATATTTCTTTTCCTTCTCTGATTGGTGGATGCTTCTCTATCTTTTTTCTTTGGTTATAGAGGCTTTTCTTTTGAAAAGATAGAGGCTTTTCTGTCATTGATCATAATGGGACCTGCCCTCTGTGTGGGTTTTAAAGGATATTATAACTTTTCAAGGTTCCAGGTGTGGGCTCTCTTAGTCTATGTTCTGTGTTTTCTGCTTCTTCACTGTCCTTTCGGATTTAGAGTATGTAGAGATTTATTTCTCTCTAGATTTTCATAAAATTGATTAAGAATCAATTATCCTTAGAGGAATCTTTTTTTAAGTTTTGCTTTCATGTTTTTGATTATACGATCTTTCTGTTGTTAATGCTAGCGTTACCTGCAGATACTTGAGGGTAAAAAATGTTCATCGGTTAAATTATTCCAACTGCCAGCTGGAGAAATATCTGGATTTGATAATACTTGTCTAGACAACATTAACAAGCTACGCGAGCTCTGGCACAAGGGGGAGAATGCTGTTGTTTATGATCAGGTGAGCTTAATTAACTTTTCTGCCATTAGACGGTTTGTTTCATAGCATTTTGGTGCAATGATTATCTTGGTGTGGAGTTTATGATCCGATGTTGGAAATATGTTCATATACAGATGATCTGTTTCTCTTTTCTTCTTTTTTCTAGAGAATTTTTTTTATTTCTAAGCAAATAGAGTACAACCACAGTGGTTGCAAGATGTTCACTTCATCAATATATCTATGAAAATAAGACAACCCTTTCCATCAAAGAGCAAAATGTGATTATAAACACTTTAGACTCCTAACAAAATCTGACTTTGTCCCATAAAATCTCAACCACCTCCCCACTAAAGTTTCTAAACTCCTTTTGTTTCTTTCCTTTTTGATACTAAAGAGTTATGTTCCCTTAGATGGGACTCTAGTTAACATAACTAAGAGGGTCCCCCCGTTGTTAACCGGGAAAAGAGTGGGACTTGAAAAGAGGATGGGAGACAGGGGCCAACAAAATCACCCAAGCCACCATTAGCACACTTCAAATCCATAAAGCTTTTGCCTTCTTCACCCCACCAAAATTCTTGCGCCTCTGACTAAGAATATCTATGCAGTTGGGCATCGGAGGAACCAATTAAAATAAAATAGGGAAATAGAGGAAACAAATCATCATACATTCACTCCCTCCTTTATACATTGTACACATTTTGAAGAAGACACTTGAGTTCTTCCCCTCTGATTCAAGTCATTGAACAACCTACCATGAGCGATTGTTCAAGTATTAGGTGGTACTCTAGCCTTCCAACTTATAGGAAATAGTTGGATAAGGAAAGAGAAGGATTTTCACATAATTTCTTGAAATATGATGAGGGTAAACAGGTTTACCACTTTAATTCTTCTCCTCTGAAATATGTTATTGTACATTTAACTCAAAAATGTTTGATTAGAGACCTTAGATCGATTTACTATTTGTTTTAACCTCTCCTATTATGGTCAAGCTGGTGCTTAAGGGGGAAAACTACAAAAAAACGAGTTTCTTTAAGACTAAATCCAGTAAAGTTTCATGCGGGTCTGGTCATAAAGAAATTCTGTTTTTGCAGGAACGAATCGCAAGGGTGGTTGCATTTATTCTATCTTTGCACTCTGATGCCCATCGACCATTTCTCATCATCTCAACTCCTCCTACACTTTGTTGTTGGGATAATGAGTTCTTCCATTTGGCACCATCTATCGATGTTGTGGTTTACAGTGGAAATAAAGATTTACGGAGAAGTATTAGGACAATAGAGTTTGATGAGGCTGGTGGTTGTATGATGTTTCAAGTACTTGTTACCTCACCAGAGGCTATTATTGAGGTATCTCTTTCTCTGCTTGTAGGATTCGTTAGCATTAGAAATTTTTTAGCGGATTGTAAGAGTGCTTAGCTCTCTTTGAAACAAATAGTCCCTTAGACAATAGTGACTTAGTTGTTAAATTCTCTCTATTGTGTAGGACAAAAATGTGTTCGAGTGCATACGATGGGAAACTATCATAATTGATGAGTGCCAGCGCCCTACAATCTCTAAACAGCTGGTGCAGATTAAGATGCTACGTACTCATAATTGGCTTCTCCTTGTCAATGGAATATTTAAGGTTTGTATTTTATTCTCCTTTATTGGTATTTTTCTGTTTTCCTTTTTTTTTTTGGGGGGGGGGGGG